TCATTTGTTTTTCATTTTTTCCACCCCTAAGGTAAGTGGCATTTCTGTTTATAATTTCCACAGCTTGATTCAGCATGGGTTTTCTAAGAAAACTAGAAAAGGGCTTTCCTGGAATAGCAAAAGTAAGAAATATTGCCTGCCACTAATTTTTATAAATTATAAGCTTCCTCCTTAAATTGTTGCTATTCATTGTTCAATACTTTAGATTTACAATATAGTAATTGCATACATCCATACAACCGAGTACAGTAGTTTTTCCACTAACTAAAAGCTTTTAAAATTATGTTGCAGTTTAATCCTACGTCATTCTAATAATGTGTACATTTATATCACGATACGTATATATTTTAATTTATTTTAATCATGAGGAGAGTGCTATTCAAATATGGAGTCTTCTACAGTGATTTTCAGGGAATTCAAACCATCCAGCTACAGTAATGATTAATGCAATGCAATTGAAGAATATCACAAAAGAAGAGTAGTTTGTAATATCAGTGAAATTGTTTACCTAACAACCATCTGTATTATTTGTTTAGAATTATCAGGATGGGATCAAGATTACTATTCTGTTCTCATTAAGAGGAAAATCCATTTGAGAATAGAGTAGAGTAGAGTAGAGTAGAATAGAATAGAATAGAATAGAATAGAATAGAATAGAATAGAATAGAATAGAATAGACCTTGTAGGTCATCTAGTCCAACCCCCTGCCCAAGCAGGAGACCCTACACCATTTCTGATAGATGGCAGTCCAGTCTCTTCTTGAAAGCCTCCAGTGATGAAGCACCAACAACATCTGAAGGCAGTCTGTTCCATTAGTTGATTGTTCTCACTGTCAGGAAATTTCTCCTTATTTCCAGGTTTGAATCTCTCCTTGATCAGTTCCCATCCGTTATTCTTTTAACATTAATGCATGGAATCCCTTATGCTTGGTGGAGGAATTGCATAGGTGGGAAGTCAACAAACTGGTCAAAAGGCCAGATCTCCTCAGCCTTTGTCTCACATAAATGGCAATAATAACAACAACAACAACAACAACATTGGAAGGGACCTTGGAGGTCATCTAGTCCAAGCCCTTGCTCAGGCAGGAAACCCTGTACCCTTTCAGACAAATGGCTGTCCAGTCTCTTCTTAAAAACTTCCAGTGTTGGAGCATTCACCGCTTCTGGAGGCAGGTTGTTCCACTGATTAATTATTCTAACTCAGTGTTTCTCAACCTTGTCAACTTTAAGACGTGTGGACTTCAACTCCCAGAATTCCTCAGCTATCATGCTGGCTGGGGGATTCTGGGAGTTGAAGTCCACATATCTTAAAGTTGACAAGGTTGAGAAACGCTGTTCTAACTCATCTCATTTCATTTTGTCCTTCTTTTCATTAATGATTCTAGTCCACTATTTCTCCAATATTACTGTAACTCTTGTCCTGCGGTGAGTTGGCCATGGCGAGTTGTCCTTGTCCACGGGTGTCAAACTCGCTGCGTCACGTTACGTGTCACGACGTATCGTGATTTTTTTTCCACATTGCTGGAGCTGGGGTGTATAATGCAATCAGCTCGTGGGCCGGCAGTTTGACACCCCTGTTCTAGACCACTTCCAAGTGGCTTATCCTGAAGCAGTTTCATGCTATTGCAAAATCTGAAACCTGTCATTTATATTTGTTAAAATCTGAGTGTATGATGGATGTTGTTGTTAGTTGCGAAGTCGTGTCCGACCCATTGCGACCCCATAGACAATGTTCCTCTAGGCCTTCCTGTCCTCTACCATCTTCTGGAGTCCATTTAAGCTCAGACCTACTGCTTCAGTGACTCCCTCCAGCCACCTCATTCTCTGTCGTCCCCTTCTTCTCTTGCCCTCCATCTTTCCCAGCATCAGGCTCTTCTCCAGTGAGTCCTTCCTTCTCATTAGGTGGTCAAAGTATTTGAGTTTCAACTTCAGGATCTGGCCTTCTAAAGAGCAGTCAGGGTTGATCTCCTGTAGGACTCACCGGTTTGATCGCCTTGCGGTCCAGGGGACTCGCAGGAGTCTTCTCCAGCACCAGAGTTCAAAGGCCTCAATTCTTTGTCGCTCAGCCTTTCTTATGGTCCAACTTTCACAGCCATACATTGCAACTGGGAAAACCATGGCCTTGACTATACGCACTTTTGTTGGCAGGGTGATGTCTCTGCTTTTTAGTATGTTGTCTAGATTTGCCATAGCTTTCCTCCCCAGGAGCAAGCGCCTTTTAATTTCTTGGCTGCAGTCCCCATCTGTGGTGATCTTGGAGCCCAGGAAGATAAAATCTGTCACTACCTCCATTTCTTCCCCATCTATTTGCCAGGAATTGAGAGGGCCGGATGCCATGATCTTGGTTTTCTTATGATGGATGGATCTGAGTAAAAAATTGATTATGGATGGATGGTATTCACTCTCCTGATACTGCAGAAACACATTAGCTCATGTAATGTATTCCCATCCTGGACAATAAGAGGCAAGCTTAACGCCAGTCTTGCAGAAGGCTGAATGGAATGAACAAATGAACGAACGAATGAATGAATGAATGAATGAACGAATGCTATTTCAGACTGATCTTTTGAGCAAAGGCAGCTATTTCAGACTATATTCTTTCTGTGCAGTTCTTCCCACTTCAAGTTTCATTTAAAGTTGAAGGGGTTGACTTTATTTTCAATGAAGTTGAGTAGTTGTATTTTTTTACAGAATCACCCAGGTAGAAGTGAACATTTAGACTAATACCCAGAGACACCTTTTAAATCTCTATCCCTTAGAGATTATTTTTTCCCAATACAAGTAAGAGAACAAATATGAATTAGTTCACCTCAAATTGGAAGCACAGTTTAAACATCTATTGAGAGCATAACCTCTCTTTTTATTAAAAATACCAACAAGGCACTATCCTTCAATTTTCTAGGGCAGGGGTAGGCAACCTTGGCTCTTTTATGACTCGTGGACTTCAACTCCCAGAATCCCTGAGCCAACATGTCTCAGCTTGGAAACCTCTCCCTTTCCCCTCAGCATGGCTGGCTCAGGAATTCTGGGAGTTGAAGTCCACGAGTCATAAAAGAGCCAAGATTGCCTACCCCTGTCCTAGGGGAAAACAACTTCCTGTTTGTACATATGTTTATTAGTTATCATGTTCACTTTGAAAATGTAATGTATTTAATTTTAACAACTAGGATTGGTTTTTTTTTTTTTAGGCATCTTATAAACCATTGATGAAGCAAGTGCTGGAAGAAATTTACAATCCTGATCGACCTGACCCTGTTGATATTGAACACATGTCTTCTGGGCTTACAGATCTTCTGAAAACGGGATTCAGCATGTTTATGAAGGTAAAGCAGTCATAATGTAGGATCACAATGACCTCTGATTAAAATGGGCAGCATTTTATTAAGAAGCAGACAACTCCATTTATTTTCTCTTCCCCCCCCCATTTATTTCCTATCTGAAATTTGTACTTTTGGGGGGACGTTGCAAGAAGATCAGTGGTAGAACATATATATATGTTTTCGTAGATTTTCACGGGTACAGGTATGCAGGTCTTGGCGTATTCGGGTCTTTTCCCATGTAAGATTGAGAGTATCTTGGCGACGTTTCGACGAGGTCCCACTCGTCATCTTCAGGCTGGAGTCTTTGGCTTCAGGCTGGAGTCTTCAGCTTCTGTGCGAGGAAAGTGTGATCGGAGCTGCCATCTCTCTATAAATACTGGTGGGGGTGGGTGGAGTGCTGGCTTAGTTGCTGTAGTGTAGGTAGATTGGTTGGCTGTGTGGGAGCCATTGTTTGTGGAATGTTTGGCTGTTTTGTAACATCCTGAGTAGTTGAGGTGCTGGCTGTGTGACCGTTAGTCTTTTGTGTTATAACGACCTGGGTAATAACATTATCAGATGATGATCAGTGACAGGGATTCATTGTTGGCCCAACATCTGTTTTGGGGCAGTTGTTTATCTGTCCCGTTAACTGATAGAATTAGAATGGTCTGTTAAGTACGTTGAGGAATATAAAAAACCCATTATGGGAATTAAATGTCCACTCCATTATGCCCTGTTTTCTTCCTGGAAGAAAGAGAAGGCACAAATCTAACACAAAAAAAACGTAAGTAATAAAATAATAATGACCTTACACGTTCACAACTCCATATTTTAATTAACATAATTCCACTTTTATAAAACTAAGTAACTTTTTTCTGGGTTAAAAAATAAATGTGCCATTTCCCCACATCATAAATATCCAGCCTCTTAAGAGCTCATCAGATTCCATCCGCTGTGTCACTTAAACTGCTTCCTGCAGTTTACAGGTGGCAGTAAGTGGTTTTCTCTTTGTCATTAAATGAGAGAAAGCATTCATTTTCCAAGTATTATTTCTTTCTATGAACTGAAAGACAAGAATATATTTTAAAAACACACACACCCAAGTACGTCTCCGTGGTTTNTCATTTGTTTTTCATTTTTTCCACCCCTAAGGTAAGTGGCATTTCTGTTTATAATTTCCACAGCTTGATTCAGCATGGGTTTTCTAAGAAAACTAGAAAAGGGCTTTCCTGGAATAGCAAAAGTAAGAAATATTGCCTGCCACTAATTTTTATAAATTATAAGCTTCCTCCTTAAATTGTTGCTATTCATTGTTCAATATTTTAGATTTACAATATAGTAATTGCATACATCCATACAACTGAGTACAGTAGTTTTTTTCACTAACTAAAAGCTTTTAAAATTATGTTGCAGTTTAATCCTACGTCATTCTAATAATGTGTACATTTATATCACGATACGTATATATTTTAATTTATTTTAATCATGAGGAGAGTGCTATTCAAATATGGAGTCTTCTACAGTGTTTTTCAGGGAATTCAAACCATCCAGCTACAGTAATGATTAATGCAGTGCAATTGAAGAATATCACAAAAGAAGAGTAGTTTGTAATATCAGTGAAATTGTTTACCTAACAACCATCTGAATTATTTGTTTAGAATTATCAGGATGGGATCAAGATTACTATTCTGTTCTCATTAAGAGGAAAATCCATTTGAGAATAGAGTAGAATAGAGTAGAGTAGAATAGAATAGAATAGAATAGACCTTGTAGGTCATCTAGTCCAACCCCCTGCCCAAGCAGGAGACCCTACACCATTTCTGATAGATGGCAGTCCAGTCTCTTCTTGAAAGCCTCCAGTGATGAAGCACCAACAACATCTGAAGGCAGTCTGTTCCATTAGTTGATTGTTCTCACTGTCAGGAAATTTCTCCTTATTTCCAGGTTTGAATCTCTCCTTGATCAGTTCCCATCCGTTATTCCTTTAACATTAATGCATGGAATCCCTTATGCTTGGTGGAGGAATTGCATAGGTGGGAAGTCAACAAACTGGTCAAAAGGCCAGATCTCCTCAGCCTTTGTCTCACATAAATGGCAATAATAACAACAACAACAACAACAACATTGGAAGGGACCTTGGAGGTCATCTAGTCCAAGCCCTTGCTCAGGCAGGAAACCCTGTACCCTTTCAGACAAATGGCTGTCCAGTCTCTTCTTAAAAACTTCCAGTGTTGGAGCATTCACAGCTTCTGGAGGCAGGTTGTTCCACTGGTTAATTATTCTAACTCAGTGTTTCTCAACCTTGTCAACTTTAAGACGTGTGGACTTCAACTCCCAGAATTCCTCAGCTATCATGCTGGCTGGGGGATTCTGGGAGTTGAAGTCCACATATCTTAAAGTTGACAAGGTTGAGAAACGCTGTTCTAACTCATCTCATTTCATTTTGTCCTTCTTTTCTTTAATGATTCTAGTCCACTATTTCTCCAATATTACTGTAACTCTTGTCCTGCGGTGAGTTGGCCATGGCGAGTTGTCCTAGTCCACGGGTGTCAAACTCGCTGCGTCACGTTACGTGTCGCGATGTATCGTGATTTTTTTTCACATTGCCAGAGCTGGGGTGGGCGTGGCCTCTGTATGATGCAACCAGCCCGTGGGCCGGCAGTTTGACACCCCTGTTCTAGACCACTTCCAAGTGGCTTATCCTGAAGCAGTTGCTTCTTACTGCATGCTATTGCAAAATCTGAAACCTGTCATTTATATTTGTTAAAACCTGAGTGTATGATGGATGTTGTTGTTAGTTGCAAAGTCATGTCTGACCCATCGCGACCCCATGGACAACATTCCTCCAGGCCTTCCTGTCCTCTACCATCTTCTGGAGTTCATTTAAGCTGACGCCTACTGCTTCAGTGACTCCATCCAGCCACCTCCTTCTCTGTTGTCCCCTTCTTCTATTGCCCTCAATCTTTCCCAGCATTAGGCTCTTCTCCAGTGGGTCCTTCCTTCTCATTAGGTGGTCAAAGTATTTGAGTTTCAACTTCAGGATCTGGCCTTCTAAAGAGCAGTCAGGGTTGATTTCCTGTAGGACTGACCGGTTTGATCGCCTTGTGGTCCAGGGGACTCGCAGGAGTCTTCTCCAGCACCATAGTTCAAAGGCCTCAATTCTTTGTCGCTCAGCCTTTCTTATGGTCCAACTTTCACAGCCATACATTGCAACTGGGAAAACCATGGCCTTGACTATACGTACTTTTGTTGGCAGGGTGATGTCTCTGCTTTTTAGTATGCTGTCTAGATTTGCCATAGCTTTCCTCCCCAGGAGCAAGCGTCTTTTAATTTCTTGGCTGCAGTCCCCATCTGTGGTGATCTTGGNAGCCTCTTAAGAGCTCATCAGATTCCATCCGCTGTGTCACTTAAACTGCTTCCTGCAGTTTACAGGTGGCAGTAAGTGGTTTTCTCTTTGTCATTAAATGAGAGAAAGCATTCATTTTCCAAGTATTATTTCTTTCTATGAACTGAAAGACAAGAATATATTTTAAAAACACACACACCCAAGTACGTCTCCGTGGTTTGTGATCTAAGTTTTTTTTTTTAATCAAAAGATTAGTGAATATTAATGGACCCCTAGAAATAGCAATAGCCCAGAAACCCGCAGCCACTCTCCACTAGGAATCATCCAGAACCAAAGACAAGACACAGAAGGATGAAAGGAACCATGTAATCTACAAAGTCAGCTGTAACCACTGGAACCAGTTCTCTGTGGGACAAACTTCACGTCAATTAAAAACCAGGATCCACGGACACCAGCTGGCAGTCAATCGCCACGATCCCAAATCATGAATCTCTACACACAGCAACACCAAACAGCACCAGTTCGATTGGAGCAACACCAAAATCATTGGCCACGCTACCACCCGCCACGCTCGTGAGTTCATCAAAGCCTGGCACTCCACAAGCAACAGACACACCAACCTACAACCAGCCCATGAACCCCTCAGAATCCAAAGCAGCTGCACAGCCAACCAGAGACCGCACCGACCCTCAACCAACCCACGTAAGGCCCCCTCCCCCCCACTAGCAGTTCACTTCCCAAGGACCCTGGCCTGATGTAACCTCCCCATCACAAGACCCATCACACGCCTCTCATTGATGACTCACATCTCACCCATCACAATACCCATCACAAGACTCTCACTTGACACACCCACACCTGAAGCCACACTGACACCCCCTAAACCCCGCTGAAGATGTTACCTAGCCTGGTAATGAACTGTTCGGAAACCAACCCACAAGCTCGGAGAAGGGACCTTCACCCTCGTTAGTGAATATGGTACCATGAATTTCTGAGCCTTTTGCACTAGAAAAAAAAGTGTTTGTTATTGCATTTGCTATAGTCAAGGCCATGGTTTTCCCAGTTGCAATGTATGGCTGTGAAAGTTGGACCATAAGAAAGGCTGAGCGCCAAAGAATGGAGGCCTTTGAACTCTGGTGCTGGAGAAGACTCCTGCGAGTCCCCTGGACTGCAAGGCAATCCAACCGGTCAGTCCTAGAGGAGATCAACCCCGACTGCTCTTTAGAAGGCCAGATCCTGAAGTTGAAACTCAAGTACTTTGGCCACCAAATGAGAAGGAAGGACTCACTGGAGAAGGGCCTAATGCTGGGAAAGATGGAGGGCAAGAGAAGAAGGGGACGACAGAGAATGAGGTGGCTGGATGGAGTCACTGAAGCAGTAGGCGTGAGCTTAAATGGACTCCAGAAGATGATAGAGGACAGGAAGGCCTGGAGGAACGTTGTCCATGGGGTTGCAATGAGTCAGACACGACTTCGCAACTAACAACAACAACAACACTGACCTCCACATATATTCCCCAGATATAAATGTATAGTTTTTCCGTTGTTACGTTTGCCACCATTCAGGTTGGATATGGATGTGAAAAGTTGCACTGGGCTGTCAAAACGTGAAAAGAATTCCTTGTTCTTTTTCCAAATCTGACAGGGTGGGAGATGAAGAAGCACAGTGTTGAAAGATT